TATTTGAGTACAAAGTTGATAAAATGTATAAAAAGTTATACTAACTTTTATAATAAAATATTGATTAAAGATTTTTTTTCTTTAGTGTATAAGCAAATAATTATTTGAAAAACATAGAGAACAAAGCATGAAACTTACATTGTAGTTTACGTGTTTTGGATGAATGATCATTTGTAATGTTCATGTCTCTGAATAACATGAATGTGAAGAGAGATTTAAGTACATATGGATCCACGGGAGAAAACGTCATAATCGTTGGTCTGCGCATATAAACTAAAATTGTAAATTAAAAAAACCAATAGAAAAATACATATGAAAGCATTCTTCTCCTTCTAAGCTCTAACAAACAATCATTAAATAGAAAAATAATACCCATGAACATATTTTAAAAAGTAAGAATTATAATTCAAATAGATCTACGATTAATCAAATCATACAGAAAGATAAAAAAATTTATCTGCATCGTGGTGAAATCGTTATAATAGGACATCTGCATATAAACCAAAAGAAAAGTTAGCTCTGATGAAATATGTATATATAAAAGCTTAATGATGTAAAATAACAAAAACAGTATCAATATAAAAAGTTCAGAATAAAAAGTTCAGTGGCTTCCTTTCTCTTACTGTGAATGTCTTATATATAGCAAATTGGTGGACGTTTCTCAATGATTTAGCTTGAATGATAAGCTAATAAATATAATATTCTCTAATAAATTATTGAGAATATTATATATTCTATACGATTAATCATATGAGAAACTGTATATAGAAACTATATATTAGAAATTGTATATTCAATATTAATAAGGTAAGTTAATAATAACAAACAACCTAATTAGATACAAATCGATAAATCACACTAAACAATGTAATCAATATGATATCAAGAGTGAATTGTTTTCCGTATTTGTAATAAGGAAATTTATTAATACATGTTTTATTAATTTATATTCTTGCGCAAGTAATATCTAATAAGAAAAATTATTAATACATGTATTAATAATTAGTAAGGTTAGTAAATTATTAGTGATCGACCAATTAATATTCTTGGCTTAATTTCATTATTGTGCAAATAATGTAGTTTTTAAATAAGGTAAGACATTTAATATGAATTATTATATTTGATAGATTTAAAAATTAATTGAAATAGAGTAAAGAAAGTTACAACTTGTGCAACGTATGTATTATTAAAATAAGGTAAGTCATTAATATGAATTAATAAATTTGGAGTGTTTGAAAACGTCGATAGTTTTGTTATCAAATTACTCTTCGCGCTGAATTAAGAAATAGAAAATAAACATATCTTAGCAATATTTACAATTCGTTTGGTACAGAAATCTTTATAATATCTACGATTTAAAGAAACAATATTTTTGAGTAGTTATTATATAGAGATTCTTCATGGCCAAGCTAAACGATTTAATGCATTTAATGAATTAAACAGAGAAAGAATCGCAAAAGGATGTTCTTTGAATCGAGAAAACACAAAAGTTAAGTATTTAAATGGATTTTATTCGGATTCAGTTTAGGAAATCCCTAGAGTATTGATCAAGCAAAAATATTTAAAACTATATTGCTAACGAAACTTTACATATCTTAGCAATATTTACAATTCGTTTTGTACAGAAATCTTTAAAATATCTACGATTTAAAGAAACCATATTTTTGAGTAGTTATTATATAGAGATTCTTCATGGCCAAGCTAAACAGTTTAATGCATTTAATGAATTAAACAGAGAAAGGATCGCAAAAGGATGTTCTTTGAATCGAGAAAACACAAAAGGTAAGTATTTAAATGGATTTCCTTTTTAGTAGTGTCGATGGTAAAAATAAATCAAAAAATAAATTCTAAAAAATCAACCAATAGAATCGCTAGAATTCTTCTGAGAAGTGCTGTGTGAGTGCCACGTGTCAAAGTGACTTCTCTTTTAATATATAGGGGGATGTTTGTTTATTGTCAAGATCTTTAAAAAATTCATACATAGGAATATATCAAACTCTCAACAACATTTGTAAATAATTATGTGTATATATGATGTCTATAAGAGGATGATCTTCAAAACATGTTTAAGGACACTTGAGTTGGCCTTTGGAGTTCTTCAAATCGCAATAACAAGGACACTCATCTTTGTTTCCATAAGTGCCTGAAGGAACACAATAATTACACTTCTCGCAACATATATTGCAATACTCGAGACACCGATCTTGTCTTCCTGCCTTTGAACATCTCACATTGCATGTGCTAATTCATGTAATATTCCAGATATAAAATTAGACAGTGAGATTCAAGTAAAAGGTTAAGTGAAGGAAGAAAACGTATAACAACTTTGATCTGCACAAAGCTTAGTTTAATCAAATTTATGATGACAGAAAAAGGAATCCAAAGTTATTGAGATTAGTTAGCACTATTAAATGATCTATGTACTGACTTTTTACCTTTTTAATCTTTGTTTTTTTATCATTCCACCTCCTGAGACCATTTTCTGGATGGTTGATGATAGGTAATGAGGATTTTAAATTGCTTATGGTGTTAGTGTTACAGTGTAAAACTTAATTTGGTCTGTTCTGAGCACTTTTTCTTGTATCTCTGCTTGTTTTTAGTCAGAGTTTTTCAATCAGAAAAAAATCATCACAACAGATTATGGATTGGTTATAACTTGTGTATTGTAAAGTTGTGAGTTTGTGACCCTTTGCAGCTTTGTTTTTTTTATGCGGTTGTTTGTGAGTTTGTGATCGTCGATGGAATGTAACTTAATAGTTTGCAGAAGTTAACACACTGGGATATAATAAAAAGGAAGCAATCTCAGCATAAGTTGTTCTGGCTTTTAAAGATGTTTTGAGTTTTTACAATGAACGGCATCCCAAAGTTGATGTTTAAAGCAAATTTTTAACAAAGAACGGCATCCCAAAGTTGATGTATATAACAATGAACGGCATCCCAAAGTTGATGTAATATAACAATTAAGTTGATGTATTAAATTTGATGAAATATATTACAATAAAATTTGATGTCAAAGTTGACGTCTTAAGCAAATTTGATGTCTTATGCAAATTTTCAACAACAAATTTTTTACATTTTTTCCTAATAATCATATATATATATATAATATAATATAAAAGATCATATTATTTTTTCACTAGTTCAACTCCATTGATAATTACTAAAGATAACTTTATAAAGTTAATGTATATCAATATTTGTTAATATTATCCCCAACATTTGATCATAATCAATCATAATTTATTAAAATCAGTTGTTAATACAAAGTCTCACATTTAAACAATAATAATTTATTTAAGTTTTCTATAATTTTATTTATATTTTACTTATATATTTCTTAAGTTTTACTTATATTTTATATAATTTTATTAAAGTTTGTATGTAAATATAATTTTTGTTAATAAATATGTTACACGGACTGAGAAACAACTAAACAATACACTGGTATTAGAGAGTACTGGATTTTTTTCCAATGACTAATAATTTTCAATAAATAATATTTATATTAAACAATCTATATATTTATAAATATTAATAAAAAATTCAAAAATATGCCTCATTAATTTGGATGTCATAATCGATAGTTTGGGTGCGTTTCCCCGGCCCTGGGCTCAAGTCTGGATCACCTCGGGTTCCTATGACAACAATACACTCAACAGCATCGAGGCAGGCTGGCAAGTAAGTAATTAATTAGTAACCATTTCTGTAATTTAAAGTTTCATATGCACAAACTGACTAAGATTTAATTTTTTCTTATTTTTCGAGTTTATCCCGACTTATATATATGGATCATTAGCCCATGAATTTCATCTTTTGGACAGTTCATTTATTTTATTTTATTTCAGTTTGAATTAGGTTGTTTGGGTATCTGATCGAGTTCGTGTTGGTAGTTTGTGTTTTGGAAATTTCGGTTTGGATATCCTAATACATATAATTCTCACAATCGGATTGGGTTTGGATCATTATACTTTGGTTTTGGTTATATTTTAGATATAACTGAGAAAATGCTGTTTTTTATTTGGTTAAAGAGAGGTTCTATTTATATCGTTTGGTCTTAGGATTTTCTATTGTTAAATGACTTTCGAATATTGTGAGCAAACATGTTTTGAAACTGAAATTTTCAAGTGTATTATTGAAAAAGCCTATGACACATGTCAATATTAGGCCTAGCTGTTAGGATATCCGTTCAGATTGCGTATTTCAGATTTTTGGGTCTAGTATCCGTTTCGAGTATTTCTGCATATTGGGTCAGGTTCAATGATTTTGGATCGGTTTCGAATACTTAGATTTTGAAAGCAAAAGTCAATTTTTTCATTACTTAAATTTCTTGTAATTAAAAAATTATTACTAAATTAACTGATTTTTAATAGGTTTATGAGTTTGGAAATAAAAATTTGAAAATAGAATGGCAATAATTTGGTTGTTGTTTTGAGATTTTAGATGCAACTTTTATCAATGCATGAAACAATAAGTTTGACTGACATTATTTTAAATGAAAAACAAATCACTTTTATACAATTATTGTACCATGTATACCATTAATATAAATAGTTTAAATAAAATATAAGAAATAAAATAAGAACATATAGTTAAATATAGATATGTTCGGTTATCTTCGGATATTAATTCAAATTCAAATATTATTTGCTTGGGCTAAGATATTTCTCTAACTTGATATGTTTGAGTATTTTGCTACTTTTGTTCAGATTCTGGTACATATATTTTTGAATCGGGTTCTATATTTTTGAATCGGGTTCTCGTATGAGTTAGGGTATCAATTAAAATGTCTGGGCATAGTCAATATGGTCAAAGTAATTTATTGCATATCCGCATATCGTTATGACATAATAAATATTATATATTAAAATAGAGAGAGAGAAGGACAGTTCACCTTATAAAAGTTTTCTAATCCCACTAGATAATGTCTTAAAACACTTGTGCAAATAATTATGTGTATATAAAGATATGATGTCTATGAAAGGATGGTGGTCAAGACATGTTCAAGGACATTTGGGCTGGCCTTTGGAGTTCTTTAAGTCGCGGTAACAAGGACACTCATCTTTGTTTCCATAAGTTCCTGAGGGAACACAATAGTTACACTTCTCGCAACATAGATTGCAGTACTTGAGACACCGATCTTGTCTTCCTGCCTTTGAACATCTCACGTTGCACTTTCCATTGCATGGTGCTAATTCATGTATTATTTCAGATATAAAATTAGACAGTGAGATTCAACTAAAAAGTTTAATAAAATGAAATGAATCAAGTTATACTTACACGAATCTGCGTTTGTAAACATGAACAAAGAAGATGAGAGGAGAAGAGAAATAATGAAGAATTGCACAACAGCCAACTTCATCGTCATTCTTAGTGAGGTTGAAATTCTTTTGGTTTGATTCGCTAAAAGGTTTGCAACTTTGGGAAGAGATTGGGAAGAAGAAGAAACTATACTGAAAGCTTGCGCAGAATGCAAATGAAGTTATTGTTTAGAATGAGTTAAATGGGGATGCAAAAAGGAGTTATTTATAGTGCAAAAAGGGGCCAAATCTTGGTCGATAGTCTCGGTAACGATCTTGGTCAATAGTTTTGGTTAACTGTTTTGGTCGGTAGTCTTGGTCAATAGATTTGGTCAATGATCTTAGAAAGATTTTAGTCAATAGTCTTGTATATGCATTAAGAGTTATTCTTAGGTTCACCCCTAGGGTGAACCTGTAGGTTCACCAAACCAATAGGATGGTGTTATTTCAAATTTGATATCTTTTAAAAAAGGAAACAAAATCTTGTCAAGTTATTTTATGTTTTTAAAATAAAACAGAAAAAAATAAAAAAATAATAATATTTAAGAAAACGAAATTTTTTTTTAAAAAATATTAATACTAAAACACTAAACCCTAAACCCTAAACCTTAATCCTAAACCCTAAACCCTAATACTAAACCCTAATCCTAAACCCTAAACCCTTGGGTAAATCATAAACCCTTTGGAAAAATCTTAAACCTTGAGTAAATTAATACTAACCAATTATAATGTTTTTTATTTATTTTTATCTTTTTATTTTAAACACATGTTTTTATTTTAAAGATATATTAAAAGATTTTTTGTTTTAATTTTTTTTGCAATTATTACTGTTTTTATTTTATTTTTATCTTTTATTTTAAAACATAATATAAAGTTAAAATATATTTTAAATAATTTTTTTTCATTTTCTGTAAATATTATTATTCTTATTTATTTTTTTCTAGTTTTATTTTAAAAACATAATATAACTTGACAAGATTTTGTTTCCTTTTTTAAAAGATATCAAATATGAAATAACACATTTCTATTGGTTGGTGAACCTAGAGGTTCACCCTAGGGGGTGAACCCAAGAATAAGTCAATGAATAATATTAATGCATGAGTTATTCTTAGGTTCACCCCCTAGAGTGAACCTCTAGGTTCACCCCCTAGAGTGAACCTCTAGGTTCACCAACCAATAGGGTGGTGTTATTTTATATTTGATATCTTTTAAAAACGGAAACAAAATCTTGTCAAGTTATATTATGTTTTTAAAATAAAAATACAAAAAATAAATAAAAAATAATAATATAAAAAAAAACGAAAAAACACTTTTTAAAAAAATATTTAGCACTAAAACACTAAACCCTAAACTCTAATCCTAAACCCTAAACCCTAATACTAAACCCTAAACCCTAATCCTAAACCCTAAACCCTTGGGTAAATCATAAACCCTTTGGGAAAATCTTAAAATTAATACTAACCAATTATACTATTTTTTATTTTTATTTTTTATTTTTTTTAAACAAATGTTTTTATTTTGAAGATATATTAAAATATTTTTTTGTTTTAAATTGTTGTTTGCAATTATTACTGTTTTATTTTATTTTTATCTTTTATTTTAAAACATAATATAATGTTTAAATATTTTTTTAAAGATTTTTTTTCGTTTTTGTATATATTAATATTTTATTTCATTTTTTATTTTTATTTTAAATACATAATATAACTTGACAAAATTTTGTTTACTTTCTTAAAAGATATCAAATATTAAATAACACCATTCTATTGGTTGGTGAACCTAGAGGTTCACCCTAGGGGGTGAACCCAAAAATAAGTCTCTCCACCTAGAAGTCAGGTATAAAAGAAGGAGTTATTCTTAGGTTCACCCCCTAGGGTAAACCTCTAGGTTCGCCATCCAATATGATTGCATTATTTCAAATTTGATATCTTTTAAAAAAGAAAACAAAATCTTGCTAAATTATATTATGTCTTTAAAAATAAAAATAAATAATAATATTAATAAAAAGGAAAATCATTTCAAAAAATATTTTAACACTAAACCCTAAACTCTAATCCTAAACCCTAAACCCTTGGGTAAATCATAAACACTAAACCCTAAACCCGAATCCTAAACCCTAAACCCTTGTGTAAATCATAAACACTAAACCCTAAAATGTAACAATATTTTGTTTTCATTTTAATGATATATTAATTTATTTTTTTTTGCAATTATTAATGTTTTTATTTTATTCTTATCTTTTTAATTTAAAAACATAATATAATGTTTAAATATATATTTTTTAAATAATTTCGTTTTTTAAATATTATTATTATTTTTTTTTTGATTTTTATTTTACAAACATAATATAGCTTAACAAGATTTTATTTCCTTTTTAAAAGATATCAAATATGAAATAACATCATTCTATTGGTTGGTGAATCTAAAGGTTCACCCTAGGGGGTGAACCCAAGAATAAATGTAAAAGAAGGAAAGCTGTCTAGCTAGAAGGGGCTCTTCATGAGAGGAAAAGAGAAGAAGAGGGAGAAGCGAATGAATAGAGGAAAAGATTCACAGCTTCATCATTTATTCTTACATAAGATTCACATATTCAGATCATCAAATGGAATCATTCCATTCATTATTCATATATTTCTATATAATTTATTTGCACTTACTATCATTTAACTACTAGGACTTAGAATCTTACTCACTAGACAAAGATTGGAAACCTCTTATCTTGAATACACAACACGATTAATATGGCACATAGCTCAAGGGACCCTCGTCGCAATGACATGGAGTAATCATAGTTTAATGGAGTTCAAGGAACCTAGCTAAAGCCTTCCTTACCGTACAATCATCTAAATCCTAACCCTATCTCTTTGTCTAGACTAAGCGTCTCCTTATGGTGGAAGATAAAGAATTCGACTGAGCTCAAAGCTAAGAGGATAGACATTTCTCTGTTTGTTTCTTTAGATAATTTTGTTTGTTTTGGGGTTTACGCAAAAAAAAAGTTACTGAAGACTTACAAAGTTAGACAGAAAAACTCAGTGAAAATACTTGCTTTTCTTGAGCTAATTGTTATCTATCATAGACATTTTATCTTCACTTCTTGAGACTTATTATAATTATCTAGCTGATGCATATTTGTGTGTTTTGATGAATGATACATAGCAATATAGTTGAATATCACGCCATATTGTCATGATAATAAACTTTTGCATCTAATAGAATAGCATTTTGATGTAAAAAAAAAAACTTTTGCATCTTTAGATTGTCTCGATTAAGAACATACTTTGTACACAGTACATACACTTATCAAACTTCACCTCTAATATTTAATTAATTAAAATTATTCGTTTATTGTCAAGATCTTTCGGATTTTCATACATAGGAATAAATTGAACTCATTATTCATGTATCAACCACAATTGTAAATATTTATGTGTATATAAAAGATATGTTGTTTATGAGAGGGTATCTTCAAAACATGTTTAAGGACACTTGGGTTGGCCTTTGGAGTTCTTCATATCGCGGTAACAAGGACACTCATCTTTGTTTCCGTAAGTGCCTGAAGGAACACAATAATCACACTTCTCACAACATATATTGCAATACTTGAGACACCGGTCTTGTCTTCCTGCCTTTGAACATCTCGTATTGCATTTTCCATTACATGGTGCTAATTAATTGTATCATTCCAGACATAAAATTCGATAGTGAGTTTCAAAAAAAAAAATCATAATATTGAAATGAATTATTTATACTTACACGAATCTGCGTTTGAAAGTATAAACAAAGAAGATGAGAGGAGAAGAGAGATAATGAAGAATTGAACGACGGCCAACTTCATCTTCATTCTTAGCCAGGTTGGTTGATTCTTTTTTTTTTTTTTGGCTTCACTAAAGGTTTGCAACTTTAAAAAGAGTTTGGAAGGATGAAGGAACAAAACTGAAAGCTTGCACACAATGTTAATGAACTGATAGTTTGGAATGAGCGAAATGAGGCTACAAAAAGGAGTTATATATAGTGAAAAATATTGGAGTAGGCCAGTTACAAAAAAGAAAAGAAAAAATAGGAGTAGGTGAAATGTTTGTTATATATTGTGTATTTAAGAAAACAACTATAGATACAAATTTATTACTTACATTTTTCGTATCATATACTTGTTACGTCAAGTTAATCATACGAACTCGCTTTTAGAAAATTAACTCCTGGTAATTTTGTTCAAAAGATTAATGAACAAGATAATAAGGACTATTCAATTCACTATTGTCATCTTTTGTATTATAAGCCTTTAACTAAAGAAATAAAGATTATTATGTTATTGGCTACTATGAAATTGTTTCCCAGGCTTCTTTAGTTCTAAAAGAAATATTTTTTTAAGACAATAGATTTGCTTTAAGGGGTCTATGTTTTTCATTGTTGCGTGCCGTTATCTAAATGTGTTACATAATATTATTACTGTCATTAATGAAATTAGATACGTGTATACGCATCAAATGGTTATTACTTTTCTTAAATGAGATTATGAGAGATACGAAGGCACAATGTCGTTCACGTTGAGCGACCATCGCGTTAAAGCTATAACAAAAGTGGCACACGTAATCGGAACCTAAAGGCAGGAGAACTTCCAGAGAATTCTACTAACATTGTTATATTCATTATTTTATAAAAAAAAGTTTATAGAAAAGTTGGAAGGTGAACACTCCAGAAGAATGTAGTGGCTTGTTTAACGTAGTGCATCTATGCTTATCTCAAACTTAAGGATGTCAACCAAAACGAAAACACTACATGGGGATCGCATAATAAGATCATGCATTCATGATCAGTTAAAACAAAACTGATAGACCACCCACTTAGCACTATATTTATGAAGTGACATTTGTTAAATTAGATCTCTTACTTAATACAAATCTTGTCCAATAGAATAGGCTGAAAAATGAGATGGATTTACTTCATTTTTTTTTGTGGTAATACGGTTCTCTCGGGACTTAAGCTCTTTAGCAATATATATGTTTCGTATGCATGCTTACATAATTGTATACAAAATTATATTTCTTTGGGGACTTTTAGTAATATGTTCTCTGTGCATGCTTACATAATTATTTGCAAACTAAGATATTACTACAATTTGTTCCTTATAAAACTCACATCCACCTACATTTTCAATAGTTTAAGAGGTATAACACGTTTTTTCACATTATTACTTAGAGCATCAACATCGCAAATCTTTTGTGCGTCTCTTAAGAGGAAGTGGCCCACGATTTATCAAAAACTCACCTCTTATATATACATAATAAACGACGTTTGTTGCATATATTTTACACTATTTTGTGGATTTCACGAGACACACGACGACCTGTAATTATTTTTTTTTTTAATTATTTTTTAAAAAAAATTAGATAAAACAAAAATAAAAAACAAGATGAAAAAAGGAACGGCGCCACCGTCCCCGCTAGGCCTGGGCATTCGGGTAGTCGGGTCGGGTTCGGGTCGGGTCCTTTCGGGTCCGGGTCTTTCGGGTCTAGGAGTTTAGGATCCGATAGGGTAATTTCAAATTTTCGGTTTCGGTTCGGTTCGGGTCGTATCGGGTCCGGGTCGGGTCGGGTCTTAGATAATTGGACCCATTCGGATAATTAGAATTTATCGGTTCGGATTCGGTTCGGTTTCGGGTCGGGTTCGGTTCGGGTTCGACCTAAAAAATACCTAAATATATAAAAAAAAAATCTGAAAATACTTATATATCCGAAAATATTCAAAATTTTATTCAAAATTTGTGTTTTTACTATATTAAAATGTGTATAAATATATTAAATTATGCGAGATACAACAACAATTTGTTGTCTCCTAGTGGTTGACCCCCTTACTCTCTATAGAAACAACCCGTCTTCGACTCCCCCTCAATGCATTTTATTTAATTTACACTATTAATTCGGGTACCCATCGAGTTTCGGGTTCGGTCCGGGTCAGGTCCAAGACCCACGGGTCCTCCACAACAAGACCCGATAGGGTGATTTGCTCGGGTCGATTCCTACCCGGACCCGGTTTTTTCGGGTCGGTTTCGGGTCGGGTCCGGGTAAAATGCCCAGGCCTAGTCCCCGCAATGATGATGGTCTTAGATGGCCTCCTAGCAACTCACACATATGTATGTGTGTGTGTCATGTCCAGATATATTTAATTTACTGAAAGTTTAGGTAAAAATATTTGAACTATCACAAAATTCACTATAAATCTTTCAATTAGTTTTGACCCAACATATCATTGTTGTTCTAGAGATCTTTGTAGTGGGATTTGTTGGGTAAAGAGTAGCTTATAAGCATTATCTACACTTCACCCAAGTTGCATCTGCTTTCTCATCGTTTGCAACAACACTTGTTAACTCGACTCCCTTTCCTTGGTGGATCCTTCACAAATCTACGGAATCATGCCACGCGTCTACTTTTTGTTGGCTCTTCAAATTCGTAAATCGCAAAAGGCCCATAAGGCTTCATATTTGATGGGCCTCTCTGCGGGCTAACATACGCTGGAAGCAATATCGTGCACGCGAAGAAAAAGGGCGTATAATAACAAAAAAACAAGCAAGGAGGAAGCAAAAGACAAAATTAAAACCAAGGGAGGCGTAATTTAGCCGTCCGCCATTTCCATCGTTCTTCTCTGCTCATCACTACAACCACGATCTCTCCTCTGCATCATTCGATCTGGTAAAACCATTCGTCTCGATCTCCTCCATTCTCCGTCGATTTATCCAATTTCCACGAAGCTATTTGATTTGATCTCTGAGTTTTATTTTCCTTTTTCGTAATTATAGATTCGATGGCGGCACCTCCTGCTAGAGCTAGAGCCGATTACGATTACCTCATCAAGCTTCTCCTTATCGGCGACAGCGGTACGTATTCTAATTCGCGTGTTGAGGCGTTTTCCGAAGTGTTGTTTAAGATCGTTCTGTGTGTTGAGATCTGTGTAGATATTTAAGTGTTGATAGGATTTGATTGTTGCAGGTGTTGGGAAGAGTTGTTTGCTGTTAAGGTTCTCTGATGGATCTTTCAACACTAGCTTCATCACCACCATTGGGTTTGTTATCTTTCTTTTTCTTCAAACCATGATTAGTAGAGAGAATTTGATGTATGTTTTCACTTGAGTTAGTTAGTTTAATCATTTGCTTTGTTCTGATGCAGGATTGATTTTAAGATAAGAACTATTGAGCTTGATGCCAAACGAATCAAGCTTCAGATTTGGGATACTGCTGGTCAAGAACGTTTCCGTACCATCACCACTGGTCAGTCAAACCTTCTTCTCGTATAAGCTGCTTCTTCTCGTATAAGCTGCTTGCTCTAGTAGTGTCTTATAAGATACATTGAATTAGAGGATTAAGAGTATAAGGATATCTTTTTAGGTTTTGCAGTCGGCTTAATGTTATGGCGGATGCTTTCTTTGTATCGTTGATGTTTTGGTGAAAGCCTCTTTTGTTGCAACTGTAGTTTGTGTTGACGTTCTCCTTCCTTTTACACTTTTTACAGCTTATTACCGAGGGGCAATGGGCATTTTGCTCGTGTATGATGTCACTGACGAGTCATCCTTCAACAGTATATTATCCTATACGCATAACGTCTTTGATCTTTACATTTCTGCTTTGTTCTGGACCTGTTTTCTTGACTTTATTGCAGACATTAGGAACTGGATTCGTAACATTGAACAGCACGCTTCGGATAATGTCAACAAGATCTTGGTAGGGAACAAGGCCGATATGGATGAGAGCAAGAGGGTACAGTACATTTCAAGCGAGTTTCATTCATATGGATTTTTTAACTGCCTGGTGAACGACTACTGATTAAACTAATAGCGTTTTTGGTGATTCTTCTTTTTTTTCCAGGCTGTACCAAAAGCAAAGGGTCAAGCACTTGCTGATGAATACGGAATCAAGTTCTTTGAAACAGTAAGCCAAACATTGTCTCATGAGAACAACTCATTGGTCGTATTTGTTTGCTTACAGTAAGCTATTTGTCATTTCCCATGTCAGAGTGCCAAAACTAATCTAAATGTGGAAGAGGTTTTCTTCTCGATAGCAAAGGACATTAAGCAGAGACTCACAGACACTGACTCCAGGGCAGAGGTTATTAAATTACTTTGTTACATTCTGCAGTTCTTTCACTTCACATTTACTTCTTGCAAAAGTAGTTTAATACCTTGGTTTTTGTTTTGTCACAATTCCATCGTTCATTGCAGCCTTCGACGATTAGGATCAGCCAAACAGACCAGGCAGCTGGTGCCGGACAGGCTACGCAGAAGTCTGCATGCTGTGGAACTTAAAAACTCCCAAAGATTCTGACGGTGAAGTGAAGTGAAAAAAAAGAGAACAACAAATTTATCTTGGGGTGCTTTTGTAGTTTTTTTCTTTGATGATTTGTTTTTAATTGTTCGCGAGGGTAACAGAATCTTGAAGAAATCGTTCGTTCTCAGATAGATTTGATCTCTTAAGCTGATTCTATTGGTAAATTGTTGAACTCTGGCTCATAACTCTCAGTCTCGTTCTTATCTTCTGTTTTCTTTGTTACATCATCAGTTCTTAAAGTTTTTTTTTCCCTTTTAGCACACTTACTAAAGGTTTAACTCATACACCAATTACAGCAAAATAAAAAACGAATATGTTCTTACATTAACATCCAGCAAAATATTTGCCATATTATATTCAAAGGGAACTCTCTTTTGTTGCCATAAATACACGGAAGTTCACGAGTTGCTGTATGGAATGATTCTGAACGAAAACAAAAACAGAGCGTTAGAAAGTGTGAAGAATATGCAAATCCATGAAGAAGAAGATGGACCTTTCCATAGGCGAAATGCTTTCTGGTTGATAGGAGAACCAAACACAGTATGAAGTATGAACCACATCAAACAACATAGTCTCTGGACTCTTTTTTAAGTTCTTGAACTATCTGATAAACCGTCTTCCTGTTTTGAAAGTCTATATGATTGTTTGGATGCTTTGTTTACGTCCAGCGTGTCTCCCAAATGCATACGCGTTGATTAGCATCAAACCAGATAGTTATTTATCAGGCAGGGTGTTCCTCAGAGAAAAAGAAGCGTATATGTTGTCTCAACTTTGTGAAGTCGCAAGCTTGGCATCCGCAGAGATAACTTGATCCTTTTGATGCCTGAAAGTTTCATCATATTTCAATGCAGTCACAATTTATAAACCAAGACTTAGACTTACTGAAAATTTCAGAATACTGCTTCAGCTTTTTTCTTTAAGGCAGGAAGTAGGCCTAGGCATTCGGGTAGTCGGATCGGGTCCTTTCGGATCTAGGAGTTTAGGATTCTATAGGCTAATTTCAAATTTTCAGTTCCAGATCGTTTCGGGTCGTACCAGATCCGAGATCCGGATCTGATCGGATCTTAGATAATCGGACCCATTCGGATAATTAGAATTTATCGGTTCGGATTGGGTTCGGTTTGGGTTCGACCTAAAAAATACCTAAATATACAAAAAAATATCTGAAAATATTTATATATCCGAAAATATTCAAAATTTTATTCAAAATTTGTGCTTTTATTATATTAAAATATGTATATATATATTAAAATATGAGAGATACAATAACAATTCGTTGTCTCTTAATGGTTGACCCCTTTATTCTCTATAAAAATAATCCGTCTTCGACTCTGAGTCTTCGGGTCCGGGTGAAAGGGTCAGGGCTAACATGAAGCAAAAATCAAGTGATATGATGTTACGGTAACCACGAAGCTCATCTTACGCGTGTTGTGTGACGTCTAATCTTGACCGTTCATCTCTTTAAGAGTTGTCGGCCCAAACTACTTTCTATTTGATGTGCTAATAAGTGGCTCTTCCAAGTGAGAAATGACCACTCTTATGTTGCGTTAGAGCATCAACATCGTTGTTAGTGGTTTTCATTGTTTGAAACTCTCAAAATCTAAATAGCAAATTATATTAATATTTAGTTAAAAGTATTTTAGAATTTTAGAAAGAGAAACCTATAACTGACTTAAAATTCTGAATAATGATATTCTTAAGTGTTTGTTTTTAGTTTTACCAAAGAAAAATATAACTGGCAGTAATTTGCTAAAACCCTCGATGGATATTATTTTTTAAGTGCTTCTCCCTTCTCAGAAATATTGGTGCTATCACCTCAAATTTTCTCCTTCACTTTCGTCTCCCTGTATAATTGTTTCCAGCTCCATCTTCGTTTAGTAATCTAATTTACATTTGCCCTAGTTGCTTAATTTTAATTATATATTACGTTATATACACACTGGTAGATAAAGCAACATGCATATATATATATATATATATGTATATGTATCTCTTTGTTTTAGTTAGCACCAGGTGTTTGAGTTTTTCGCTAAATCCACCTTCGTGTATGTCATTGTGTGTTACTTTCTGGTACGTCAGAGTTCATAATAGCCAGCTTGCAAATATTCTAGAGGATTAACATACAGCCCTAGAGCTATCTAGATTTCTCTAGATTCCAACTTCAGATTACTCTAGAGGATACATACAGTCCTAGAAAGATCTAGAGACATTTTAACAAAAGAAAAAATATCTAGAAACACTTCTTTAATTATCTTCTTCACCTGCTGAAAAATAAAGTCCATTTGTGTTTTCAGGTTGATAAGTCGACGCATGAACACACTCTATTTAGTTTCAAAAAAAGAATATGCTCACTTTTATTTATATAGCCCAGGTTATTATCCGTGGTTGGGTTATAGTAACAATATATTTGGTAATGAATCAAAAGCTAAATAGTATGTTATGTTTTAAACTGAATGATATCACATATATAACAAATTTCAATGCTAAGTAAAAAACAAATAGTTTTACAAAGAAAGAAAATAAAAGATATACACTCTATGAAAGTTTTCTAAATCTGAGATCTATGAATAAAAATCTAAAATATTAAGGAAGAACTTAAAGAATGAGATGAATTAATTAATACATTCACATTTTCTCCTTTGAAGTTATTAGTTATCTAAACTAACTAATCTATGTATAAAAGCTAGCTTTGACAAAAAAAATGTATAAAAGCTAGCTTGCAAAATTTATGTAGACTCCAACTTCAGGTAGTTAGAGACTAACATAAAATCCTATGAACATCTACTAAGCTTCCTTTATCTTCATCATCCGAGGCAAGATAAGTCCATTTGTGATTCTATATTGATAAGTCCACTCATAACACATGTACATTTTTTGTTTAATTATATAATTCGGGTTGTTATTGTTCATGGTTTCGGAAAATAGTAACAAGACATTTTGATAAGGAATGAAATCTAAACAACAGGTTACGTTTTAATCTGAAAGATATCATATATATACCAAAACTTTAAAGCTAAGTAAATGTATTCTCACCAAGAAAGAAAATAAAAGATTACACCCTATGAAAGTTTCCTAAATCTGCAGATGCATATGTATAAATCTAAAATATTTTTAAGGAAACAAATCAAAGAATTGAGAGAAGCTAATTAATATATCCAGGAAAATAAACAAAACGAAATGAAAAAAGAAAACAAATCAACAAACAGTTCTTCCAAGCTCCAACTTGAGATTCAAATTCTCCACCATCCCCAAACTCAGATCCAGACAAGCCAACCTCCCACTGCTCGATTTCTTCAACGTCAACAACGTCGCCTCCGGCAATAACTCGCGTGTAACCAACGCGCCGCCGCCGCCGCCACTCTCGTTCCTATGTCTTCTCATGTGTCCTCCTAGAGCTTGTCCCATGGGAAACTCCACTCCACATATAGGACAAGGATGCGACGACGACGCTTTGGTCTTTTTAATCAGACCAGAGAGGCTCTCACTGTTAGGCTTCTTGTGGCTCGCACGGTGACCTCCCAACGCTTGAAACGAATGAAACTCCTTCAAACACGTCTTACATGTGAAAACGCGTTTTGCGCTTCCACCGTCAACGTTCTCTTGTCCGACTCTTGATAAGAGCATCAGACAGCTCGCCGCCGTAGTCTCCACCGTCGACTTGAACTCTGAAATAGCAACCATGTTTTTTGTTTTTCTGATGATAAAACGAAACAAATAAGATTTTTTTTTTTTTGAGTTTGTATGGGTTGTGTGATAGTTGATTAATTGTTGATGTTGTGTTTGTGTCTGGTTGGGAACTATTTATAGATATCGAGTTGTGTGGACTGAAGACGTGTGTGAAAAGGACGAATATACCCTTATGACTTGGTGGGTAAGGAAGTGGCGGGGAAGGAGTGTGGTAGTATCGTAATTACGTGGGAATAGAAGGGGCAAGGAGAAAAGATGCGGGTTATGTGGTCACGATGTGCGACACCGCGTAGCTTAGGAGACTGTATAATAAAAACGAAATAGTCGTTTGGATGAGAATCTTCCTCGTGTTTTCTCGAACCCTTTTTATTATTTTAAGATATTTTTATTACATAACTTAACTAAACTATTAGTTTGGTCTTTTATTTACTACGCGCGGCGCGTGTTTTTCTCTCAGCCGTCTTCTAGATTTATTTGAATATTTTAAGAAATCAACTTTTCAAGATATTTTTTAAAAAAGTGTATATGAAAAATATGATAAACTTCTTAATTTTTTTTTTCAAGAGTTTTAAACATCAAAAATCATTGGTTATTGACATATTAAAATTAACGAGTGTGTGTATATTGTCGACAAGTACAACCCTACCACCCACTGGGTTATCCAGCAACTTCACATCCTGAATCCTATGGAGTATTTGGATCACATGAAATTTATTTGTGTTCGAAAACAGGAATGTATCAGCAAAGATAACGATCAATAAAGCTATTATTTCTGCACGAGATTGGTTGCAGGCACAGGGATATGGACTTCCCTCAAATCAGATAGGCCACTACGACCGAGAACTCCCACCTATCCGTCCAGATACTATTTTATGTAATTCTGATGCTGCCTGGTCATCTGAAACTTATAAGGCAGGACTGGGATGGATCTTTGAGAATGCAGGTCTAGCTCTTACTAAGGAGAACTCTCGAGCGATCGAACACGTTTCATCTCCCCTCATGGCGGAAGCGCTGGCTATGAGGGAAGCGGTGCTGGAGGCTAAGCGCACAAACCTTCTCAACGTCTGGTTTAGAACCGACTCTCAGGAGCTCGCTAGAGCTATCAACTCGAAATCATATCCGGTAGAGCTTTTCAGAGTTCTCATGGATATCGAGTTTTTATCATTTTCTTTCACTTTCTTCTCTGTCTCTTTTGTTGGTCGTCAACAGAATGTGAAAGCTGACTACATTGCGAAATCAGCTCTTCACAGTTATTCCTCACTCTTGTAATGACTCTCGTTTAGATCTATATATCATCTTCATGTTGCCCAAAAAAAAGAGTGTGTGTATATTAAGTCTCTTATTTGGTTCCTATCAATTGTTATTTTATTATTACAATTCTAATTTAAACCGGAACATTTAGTTTGGTGGTGAAAGATTCACGATTGTGAATACTGTCACATATGTTTGATTCTTGGTCACTGCAGATTTATCATATAAGTTATAGGGTCCGAGACCAAAAACCATTATACGGCGATCTCTATGGTGATCAGTGTGTTGGTTTTTGATCGTTTCGGTCTCTAGTTTGAATCATTTCGATGGAGTTAGAATATTTAGTTAGTAATAAAAAAAATTCTAGTTTAAATAAAGTAGCAAGTAGAAAAGAGTTGTTGTATGTTATTTAAATTTTTTTTCAAAAAAAAGAAAAATATGTTATATAAAATTGTCGTCAGCAGTGCGATCGACAAATGACAATCCCCGCGATGGCATGACACAACAAAGTGCGTGAGACGTAAACGTTGAAAGCTCGCGTGTGGAGTAAGGGAGTAAGTGAGAGTAAATAACGAGAAGATGTGTACGGAAACTTGATGGAAACGTGGGAAGCAAGTAGAAGAGATAAGAAAAAACAAAAAGAGAGACTGACGTAGCTCTTCTAGCACCTTTTCACGCGGTTCTAAACTTCGTTACATATATAAAACTCTTTAATTCTTATGCCTTAAGATTCTTGTTTTCACACACTCCCTCTCCTAATTCACAACTAGTCCATGATATAGGGTCAATTATAAAAGTCTATTAAAACAGTTTATATGATTGGACTAGTATAGCATGGTTGTTGGATTATAAGAGTAACAACTAACTAACGTATAAATAGATAAAACATATGACCGACTTGTTTTGTTTTCTTTGGTTGACTATCTCTATCAGTTTTCCATTTTGCTTTGCACGCCAGATCATATGATCAATCAAAATGAAACTTATCCTTTTTTGACGAAATATTTATTATTTTTGTTCTTTCTCTTTACGCAAATTGTATTTAATTTTATGTGCTTAGGAAAATTTCGCGCCATGACTCAGGTTTAGAAAAGAAGTTACTATTTGCATTGGAAATGAATTTAAATAGGAATATAAATCTGTTTTCTAAACGCGGATATTAATAATTTCAAACCCAATACGTGTCTCAAGAACTTAATCCATATCGCAACGTATGTGAATCAATATCTTCTCTCTAATGAATTGTTTCCATATACGTACGGAGAAGTCATTCAATGATTTTAAAATTAGTATTGATAGCCAGTTGTAAAGATAACACCATATTAATAGTGATTAGTTACATGTGGATCTTGACAAAAATGGTTACATGGGGATCCAGTTTCAATTTGTGAAAACTGATGTTTGTTACGAAAAAGGTGTTTCATACTAATAAATAGATTGACGACAACAGTTTTCCTTATTGTGCAATATGTCACAGAAATAAATATTTTTTGTTACAGAAAATTAACGAAGAAAATCTTTGGCAAACGTAACACCAAGAAAATAGGAATAAAAAAGGAAACAAATAAGTAGATCATATTACTCTTTTTTTTAGTTGCAAATACCTATAGTTTCAAAGCGGTGAGAGAGAAGAGTTATGCTAAACTCACTCAATAACAAATCTTTGATAGTAAGTTGAGATTGTCCGTGATTATATCCTTTATCAAATATAGATTGAGTCATTGAGGAAAAGAGTCAGAACTAGGGAATTTTTGAAGATATGCGAGTGAACACTCAGCTATACTAACAAAACGTGTCTCCAAAGTTTATGTTTTCTTCTTCTCATCTTCACTCTCTTCAACTCTCATTCTTTTGCTCTTAAAAGGATCTCTTTTTTCTCTATGTTTACATTGGTCTTACGATATGCACATGTTTAATTGTTTAATTATATATATGTGTAGTCCTATATAGTGTACTTGGGATTTTAATTGTTTAATTGTGTGTTAGTGTACAGTCTTATATAGTGTACTTGGGATTTCAATGAATCGTGTTGCTCACTCGCATCACGCATGTCTCGCCTCTTTCTTGGGAAGGTAACACATTTTCATAATCGAACAAGTTCTCAAATATTATGAATTAATAATAGTAGTACTTATGAACTTAAGTAACAGTTCTTCAAAAAATTTAAAGTCTAACAATCAAACTTAATTTAGCGAAATCATAAATTGTAAATTAGATTCAAAATCAGTAGAGGAAAAGAGATAAATATTGTGTTGACTTTCAAAACATTCAAACCAAAATAATAATTTATGATTATTATTCACTAACCTTTGATTGGATTATGGATTGCCTGACTTTTCTGGTTTATCTAAACTGAAGCCGGTTACTAAGCTTTAACCAAACCAGGTAATTTGTCCGGACAGCCTATTTACCGGTCTGACGGGGCAGGTCGGTCCTGGCTTTAAAACACTGCATGAAACTAATCGATTCTCAATGATAGCCATCAAAGTTCAGAAGACGCTATATTTTACTCATTAAATACACATATCAAAGGTTTTGCCACTATACTGCATGTGTTCCTCAATAAATGGATTCAGGCTTTCAGCTAATGCTGATAAGAAATGTATACTAATACACCTAAAATACGAACATGAACATATTTCTACGTTTTTCATTTTAACTCTTGAAGGTACAAATTATGTATATCGATGCAACATTCCACAAAGCGACTCCGTTTAGCTACGGCTCAGGCCATGTACAACCTAATAAGGCCTCACACTCTGGCCTTTTCTACGATCTAGACATTGGAGACTGCTTAGACTTCTATACCCTCGGTCTTAACAACACCTTAGTTCGACTCTTTGCTGAGGATCCACAGTATATGTGTTGCCAAGGAGCCAATCTTTTAGACTTCAACTACCCTTCCATCACTTTCCATAACCTCACAGACTCTGTCACAGTCACACGCAAACTCGGGAACGACCGCCTATGACCTACAAAGCCCATTTCCGAGCGAAGTTAGCGAAGGCTTTAGGCTACGTCTTCGGTGAGCTGACGTGGACATACTCCAACCATTACGTGAGAAGTCCTATTGTCGTCGAACTTTCAAGCTAACCTCTAGCCACTTTATACATCACTCTACTTTATCTTTTCCCTTTTATTATCATTTCAAGCTTTCTTTCTATTGCACAGTTACAAAATAGCTTTCTATTGTTTGGGATAATATTAAAAAATTTAATAGTTAAAAAACATGTACTTGCTTTAGAAAGAAAATATATTACACATGTCATAATGTTGTGCAACTTAATATTTTGCCAAGTGGAAGCGTAAGTAAGCAAGAACTGAACGGCGCTTCTTGCATGTCCAGTGACAAACGGTACTTACTACATAAGCTGTGTCTTGGATCTTGACCAGCTAAACTCAATTCGGGTTTAGGTAACGAAGAAATGAAGACGAGATCATCATCCGAGGCTGCCCTGGTTCCTTTTGTCAAGTCTCCGGCTGGTCACGGTCGCGAAGCCCTGCTGCAGATCGTGGACCCCACTTCGTCTCACCGAAAACTTTTGCCGGGGTGGACCATCGTGAAACGGCCGCGATCGTCGTCTGCTAGCCGCAAAGGCAGTGTCGATACTGTAAGTGAAAGCTGACTTAATTCTTGATTGTCCTGTCTGTGATTGGTATCAAGTTGATGATTTTTATTGCGTGGCATAGCTCTTGGTTGTTGCATGTAAGCCAGCCAGGGGTCTATAATTCGTTTATTTACATATGGTTTCTTGGTTCAAAGTATTTGACTATTTGTATTGAAGATAGATCTTAGAGATTTATTATTTGAAAAGCCTCATAGCTAGTTACTTTATTTTTGTGTGTGTGTGTAGTTGGGTAAGTACTTTATCGAGCCAGGGACTGGTAGAGAGTTTCCGTCTCTAGAATCTGTTCAAAGACACTTGGTTGGAGAAGTACATGACAGACGCTTGACTCGAACAGGACACTTTTCCAATGAAAGAACAAGGGTTTATGAAAAATCCAGAACCAAACAGGTCCCTTGATCATTCGAAGTTGCATGGTTCTTGTATCAAAAGACTTTAATATTAGTGTGTTTGTTTTTTTTTTTTTTTTGCAGGATCGTGGCAGGTTAGAATATGCTTCCAAAGGTTTCCGTTTACCTAAAGGATGGACGGTTGAGGAATTTCCTAGGTCAAATTCTGGCTGTATTGATAAGGTACTTATTATGTAGAGCTTATATATGAGAGCTATGTTGGTTAGTTTTTTCTATTGTAACTCAAACAATGTACGTATTGGTTCCTTGCAGTATTATGTTGAGAGAAAAACAGGAAAGCGGTTCCGTTCCCTTGTTTCCGTTGAGAGATATTTGAAAGATCCCGGGAAGCGTGCAGATGAGCAGCCTAAGCTTTATGAGTATCACCGTGGCCGTCCCAGAGATTTCAGTTTACCAGATGGATGGATCGTTGAGGCGAAACCGAGGAGAAGTTCCGGTCATATAGACAAGGTGCACACATCTGTAGGTTTGGTTATCTTTGGTTTGCGTGTTATGGTCCAACTATTAGTGATGTTTGTTTGTTTGCAGTCTTATATTGAGCCAGGAACGGGGAATAAATTTCGTTCTCTGGCTGCTGTTGAGAGATACTTGACCGGTACAGTTGACTCTGTTAATTCCATGGTGCCTTCCGGGCGGTTATCGGTAAGTTTCTAAAGCTTTTTACGTCATTTAGAGGTACTATGAACCGGTTCTGTACTATACTGGATTGACGGTGTTTTTCTAAATTTTGGCTTTCAGACTGTTGTTGTTGACGAAAACACACCAGAGAGAGTTAAATGGGTACTGAACGGTCCAGGTGGAAACATGTTTAGTGCGCATGTGAGCGGCTCGGTCGTGTCTAGCTCTGTCAAACAGACATGGTCTGAGGCTTTTGTCTCTTTGATCCAAGACCGCTTTTAACCAAAATGTGGCTCCTTGGTTTGGCGTTTTTGTTGTCGATTTTATAACTTTTGGTTTACTATTTAAGAAGATATCCCGGTCGGTAGTCTCTCCAGTCCAAGTTGTTCATCTTTCGGTCTAGTTTATAATCGACCTTAATAACCTCTTTTACCAGAAATTTCCCTGTCCATAGTCGGTTTGAACCGAATTTTGCTATATCGGGTATGTATGTTAGTGCTCACTTTAAGTTTCAGGACACTAAATCGAATGTTGTTTGTATGTTGTTAGTTTGTAATAATTAGAATAACTAAAATTTTAATGTGTTTAAAAACTGATTTATATGTATTTTTTTTCTTTCTATACTTCTAATTAACTTCTCAAATATAAATAGTGAATATCATACATACATACCAAAAGATAAAACGAGTAGCTCTCAAGTTTAGTCCTTAGAGCATCCCACAAATTAAATTTTTCAAGTAGTTAATTTATTAAATTTTTTATTATAAAATAATGTAAATCAATCATTAGTTGAATTGTGAGTTTCTTTAATTTTCGCAATTTTTTTTTAATTTGCGCAAATTTTATTTTAGGGAGATTATTCATATCCTCTTTCTTATTTTTTCCTGTTAATCTAATTATTTATTGGTGAAAGACTTTTCAAGAGACCCTCACTAGTAATGTTCTTAGATTTAGAGGGTGTTGTTTGATCGTCCTTGGGAAGTATGATAGGTACCTCTTGCATCGAATTTTTTAGTTTAAATGTGACAAAAACTGTGAAGTAGAATGTGCACACGCAATGACAGCTCTTTTTACCGAAATTATTAATTCACTTTCAGTGAAGTCAGTCACCTACTGCAAAGTCTGCAAGATCTTATGCATTTCTATGACCTCTATCTATTCGCGAATTTACAGCAAGAAGACTGAGCCTTCGATAGATTATAGTATTATGTATACAGTTAACTTGTTTAAAAATTCGTCAAAACATTTTCCCTTTTTCAACCTAATGTTTTTACTTCTTTTTTTTCAACCTAAACATTCAAAAACGGCTTCTTACTTCAAAGTTTCAAAACCACAAACAGTTTATATTAATTGAGCAAAGGGCCATGTCTAAATTCTAAAATCTGTGTTAAAAAATTCCTAGTTTCTAATTCGAGATTGGCATATCTGACTATATACACATATCATATGCTTCAGTTTTAATATGGACAATCTTTACAATAATTCTTCATTTCATTCTGATGTGGAATTGTTAAAAAAATGAACATTTTGATATTTAAAAAAAACTATTTCCCCCTAAATAATCATAAGTTTCTGTCATCTTAAAAAAAATTCGATTATTACGTAACTAGTGGTAACATGGTTCATCTGATAAAAATATAGTGGTTGTACACTATAATAAATGCTATTATAGATTTTTTTTTTAAAAAATTTGGCATAGAGTTCTATGATGCATTTGAACTAAGTTACCAAGACTTTGAATATCAATGCTACTTAACACTTCTAGAAATGGGTAAGTTGAAAGTTCTTGGTTTTCAAAGTCAAAAGACAACATTGTTGGTTATTGAAATTTCTTTTGCTATGGTTAATAAAATATTGTGTACGTGCTATATTTGAAATCGGAATTGACGCCAAAAGTACAAATAGGCCAGAATTAAAGGGCATGGAGACTTTCTGAGTTATAAATTTGTGACCTCAAGGCACCACCCCAACATTGACTCTACGCTGTTTTATAATATCAAGGACACATATCACTTTACCACATTTCAATGGCATATAATATAATGTTTTCGATGTAATTTCCAGTAACAAAGTATTTACTTCACTAAACAAATCACGCCAAATTTTAAAATATTAGAAATTATTTGTTACACTTTAAAATTATTTCATAATGAATAATACATCACAAATATGTTTTTTTTTTTGGGGACAAATACACCACAAATATCTATAACCTTACTCTCATGGTTAGAACTTAGAATCATATTACCGCTACTAGAGTTACCAATGGAAATTAACTGAAGATTCATGTGAGATTCCGAATAACTACAAGGAAAAATGAAAAGAGCCTGAAATTAGCCTCAAAAGACACCTAGGGTCAACATTTTTATATGTACACATCATGTTTAGCCTTAACTTTTTTAGCATTCATAGGGTATTTTTAGTAGTTACCTACACATATCACAGTGCTTAAAACTACTCATCATTCCATATTCTTCTTTTCTTTGTTCTTAAACCCAAAATAAACTTGTTAGACTTCGTGCCGTTTCTTTGCTTCTTTCTCATCAGCAACTCATGCAATTTCTTTTGTTACTGGTGCACACCATTGTTCCTTACAGCCACCGACTTTGGTTTTCTAGGAATGCATTTAGCTAGAACCGCCTCTTCCTCATCCTTCTCCTTCGTTGGTCCCATTCTTGAACTCCTAATGTATCATCAAATAATGAACTATTATTATAACCCTCCAATATATTTCATTATTGGTACATATATAAACATCTACTATGAAAAGACATTTGAAAGACACACCAAAATGTACTTCTATAACTTTTTACCATTTCCAGTTCTTCAATCAACCCACGCCATACCCAATTATTTGTACGTACGGGAACTAAATAAAACATAACGAAGCAGAAGTACGTGTCGTTTTCAAATAAAGGGAAGCAAACTGCTTGACGTTTTCAAACCCATTTAATTGTTTGTTTTTTACCTGTCAGCATTGTAAGAAGAAGATCTTTTCAAAGCAGGAACAAGTTCCTTCTTGGTCTCAATCAAACTGCCGCTAAAATACTCCTTATCTTCCAACTTTACCCTCCCAAAACTCTGTAGTTCCTTCTCTGCCCTCTCGAGACTTCTCTCCCCTGCTCCCCGCGTTACCGTGCACCCGCTACGCCCAGCCAACGACAGCCCTTGATCTTTCAACAAAACGGGCCCACATTCTTTAAACGACATCGTACCGCACGAAATCAGCTGCATCAACACGGCAGAAGCGCTCATCCTCCCGCTAGATAAACTCTCCACCGTCCGATTACGATCGTTACTGCTCTCGTTCTGACGCAATATCAGCCGTCCATCCGCTTTGATCAGATTCTCTAAAGTCTCGGGACTCGAATCCGACGGCGGAGGAGAAATCTCGTCTCTGCTCAGCTCAACGCTCTGATGATTCTCGCACCTCGCCGGACTCTCCACCTCCTCCTTCGCCGGCTTCCTCCTCCGCCTTCTCTCGTCCGTCTGAGTAGAAGCGTCCGCCGCGAGTCTCCGAGTCGACTCGGCGCTCGACTCGGTCGCTTTGTACACCTTGTACTCGCTGAGATCGACGGAGCTCCACGACTGGTTTCTCCGGCGATGCACCGCCGCCGGGATATCATCTCCGCCGGAGTTTTTCTCTATGTTTAGAGGTCTCGAGTCTCGAAACGACGTCGTACCGAGGAGGCTCCTAGGGTTTGATGAGAGGAGACAAGAAGAATCAAGAACCTCTGAGCCTTTGAGAACGTATTCTTGGCCTTGAACGGGGAAGATGAAGTCTTCCTCCGAGAGATCGTGCCACACAAATCCGTTCTTGTAGCTCCTGAAAAGTTCAGAAGATCGGACGGTTAGGTTTTTAAAGAGAGTCAAAAATTCAGAGAAAGCGTTACCTTTTGGAAGACCAAGAGTAGAGATTAGCCATGCCTTTGCCTCTAAGATCATTCAAACGGTTTATCACATCTGCAAAAAAAAAAAAAAGGAATAAAGTTTGTAACTTTTTTGAAGCTACAATTTGAAAGTTGCCGCCTTTGTCACTGTTAATGTTTCAGTAGTAATAAAGAGTAAACAGCCAAAGAGAAGAGAGTTTCAAAACCTTTTGAACTTAAAAAGGCAACTTTTTTTTGTTTATTTTTGAAAAAGCTTGGCCTTTTTCAACAAAATATGGACTTTATTTTAGAAAATAAAGGTAAGTGATTTTTGGGGGATATGTGTTACCTTTGAGATAGAGACCATCGCCGGAAGAGAGAGTGACTTCCATGAAGTGAGGATGGTCAAGCTGACCGTTCCTGCAGAGATAATAGACTACGGGAACTTTCCGGTTAGCAACCGGTTTATGACGAGGCTCAGACCAGATACGGTTCCGGTCCGGACTGGTGTCTTGTTGGTGGTCTCTAGATCTCCTGGGGACCAGATAGTTGCTATCTGGTGTTGCTTTTAACACTCTCGAACTCATCCTTTTTTTCTGTGTTTTGTTTCTGGAAGTGGAAGAAAGAAGAGTAGACGAAAAACTCGAAGTGGTGATGAGAAGTGAGAGTTGCTTTGGGGGAGTTAAGAGGAAGTGATGTTGATGGAAAGACAAAATCTTTTGTTTATGCGTTTGGATTTATAGAAAGTAAATGAAGAAGAGAGGAGAGAGATTTTTTTTTTTTTTTTTTTTTTGAAAAATGGGATGCGAGAGACAAAGGGCTACACAACAAATGAAACTTTGCTCTCTATCCCTCTCACTTCTGGCTTTTCTGATGATATAAACCGTATCAGGCTCCTACTTACGCCAGTAGATAAGCATTTTCTAAAGTCAATTTAGTTTAAATTCCTCTCATGACTAATTCAATTATTTTGTGACTTCTTAGGGTAGTATTTTTCTTTTCAAATTTGAAAATTTTATGAGGTTGGTAGAGATTTTGAATAAGTGTTAGACTTAGGAGATACTCCCTCCGTTTCAGTTTAATTGTCATTTTAGGTTTTTGCACACAGATTAAGAAAACATTTAATTTTACATATTTTCAATATAAAAACACAACTACCAATACACTTAACCACTTTTTAACCAATAGAAAAATAGATTATCATATAAATCTAATAAATTTTGCCTCGAAACTCTAAAACGACACTTATTTTGAAACGAAATTTTTCCTCTAGAGTGACATCTAATTCGAAACGGAAGGAGTATGAATATTGAACTAGGCCAAATGATCCTCTCTCTTAAGATAATAACATTAGATTTTGATTAAAAAATAGAAAACACTAGGACTATGTATTCAATGTAGAATTAATGTGATTATATTTTAACTAATTTTTAGATGAATTAAATTTATTTTGACCAAAAAAAAACAATTAAAACTCAGTATAGTTAGTTAGACTTACACCACACTAAAATTTCATATAAGTTCACTAAAACGCTTTAAAATATTAAAAAATTATGACTAAAATATTTTTAATAACAGTAAAAATTAAATTAATTTATCAAATAACAAATTCAGTAACAATAATTTTTTAAGAAAACTCCAAACTGAATATACCTTTTAAGTTTCAGTGTAAGGGGTTTATATTTACAATTTCTTTTGCATCTCACTGTAATAAAAATCTAACAAACTCAAAATCATGCTGTTGTGTGTAAATCATTTGGAAATTTGTGTATCTAAAAATGTTTTCATAGTAAAAGGAGCATCGCCCTAATGATCTTGTTTTGTCATTACATACCTTTTTAACTATAATTTGTACTATGTATTTTGAAACTTTGACTAAGAAAGTTACTGCTTACTACGTAAGACAAACTATATGTACTATTTCTAGAATTAAAAATGTTACTAGGTTAATCCACGCTGTGGGATAAATATTTTATATAAAAATTATATTTATGTATTATTACTTTTTTTACATGTTGTAGAATAATAAATATATTGAATAATTTAGAAATCAGTAACTAATACGTATATAATTAAATTGGGATACATATATAAATCAAACGATCACTCTTGTTTATTAATAATTAGTTATGATAAATAAATCAGAACAATCACATTTATCTATTTATATAATATATAATTAAATTTAAATAATTTAACATTGATATATAATATATTTTAATATTACTATTTATTAATTAAGGTTCTAATTGTATAGTTTTATGATTATCAGTATCACAAAATTTTAGACCATTGATAAACTTTTGAATGTGGGATGTTTCATAGTTTTTGTAATTTATAATCATTTAAAAAATTAATTCACATTTCAAAGTTAAATATTAAGTTTTCAAAACTTTGACAAAAAATATATTTAGTTCTTGATATTTGTTCAGTGCAAATCTCAAAATATAAATATACATTTTATATGGTATAAAGTTTAATTTAAATAATATATATATATATATATAAACACTTATTATAAAAGATGTCTTATTCAAGTGGTTTTATAATCATTTGTATAAAAAAAATTTAAACCATAATCACAAAAGTTTATGTAAGACTCTTTTTAACAGTTAAATAATTTATACTCATTTCTAAAATTTAAAATACAAAATATATGAAAAAATCAAAATTTTTATTTTATGATTAATGTAATTGTGTCATTTATTTTAATAAATTAAACATAGATAATAGTGAATATACAATTGTTAGCAAATCTTTATTATTAAAAGTTATTACTTATCATATTTATATCTTAATCATATTAGATAATTCAGTGTTTTTTTTACAATAAGAGGATAAGGGAGAGTAAGTTTTTGGATTAATAATGGATTTTATGGTTGGTTTGGTGAAAACTATAGTTTGTGTTTTGATCAATCAATTTAACTTTTTAAAGACTTTTAAAAACTTATTTTCGTAATGACATATGGCATATTTTAAATGTTATAAGGATTCTTTTAAATATATAAGAGATTATCGTACGCATGATTACATTAAGTGAGCTAATATAACAAGGTTTGTACAAAATATCGAGTCAGGCGACGCTGTTTAGAGCGTTTTCAATGCAGTTTATAAGATTTAAAATGTTAATGAAGTTGACTAAAGGAGACCACCTAGAGAATCCTCTTCGCACCTAACTTTGACTACAAAATATGAAACCGACGACGATTTAAATGTGTCGTCCGTTTCAACGACTTGATTTCTGTGGACCTATAGGGCCAAACCACGTGTCACTATCATTATAAGCTTATAAAACTGCCATACAAAAATGAAACAGAGGTAGTATATACTTGTAACATCGGAGGTAGTATACTTGTAACATTTTTTACAGACAAATTTAACGACGGTACGCAGTTAATGTTCAAGATTTACAGTCTCTGTCGTTTTATCTTTGCGTTAAATCAACTCTATTAAAATAGAATCACTATTTTTATCTACTACGAAGAAGTCATATAGGACCATTTCATTAATTACTTAGTATAACATATTAAATTATTTAGGTTAATCAATCAAATATATATCATATATGCTGAAAATAATAGATTTACATTTTATTTTTAGTTATAACAGAATCGGTTGAGAGAAAATCTAACAAAATCTTATTAAAAGTTTAAATATTTTTTATTAAATAACATAATAATGAATTTCGTAATTAATAATATCATACATTAATATTAATTAAAATTTCACTATAATAACAAAAAAAAAGAATCCTATACTATTTTATAAATTTCATATTATAGTCTATGTTATATTAAAATAGAGCTGCACTATGAATTAAATAAAATAAATAAAGTTCTTAAATGAAACCTTATTTTAAATTTATTTCACTTAAATTAAAAAAAATTATTCACCAGTAAAAGGAGTAACATCATAAATTGTATATTTTTTATACAAAAATGTTAGCATAACTTTAAATTTTTACTATATCTTATTTTTTACTTAATTTAAAACTCACAAAAACATATTATCTAAAATAATTATAAAAAATATAATAGTATATAACTAACTTTTAGTTCATGTGTTATTTTAAAAAGATATAATATCAGAAAGTTTTACTAATTCAGAAGATATTAGTGAACATTATTTTTAACTGAAAATTTAATATTTTTATTATAAATAATATGTTGAGAAAATATAAAAATATAAAAAACATTTTATATTAATAATGTTGAATAACAAAGTTAATAATCAAAGAATATTATATATTAATAATGTTGAATAAAAACCTAAACCAATTAGATTATAAATTTACACAATATATAACATATATAGATTATATATTTAAAAGATTTACATTAATATTAAATAAATTTTTAATAACGAAAAATATACCCGCACGAACGTGTGGGTAAAAACTCTAGTGGATATTAAAGGAAACCCCAATGTAAAATACTCCAGCTTTTACTATTTTTTGGTTAAGCACTCTAGCTTTCACATTTTCAAGTAGAAACATAAAGCAAAAACTAGTTGTGTAAAAAAATTTAACTCGTCTCCAAGGTAATAGAAATCTTACAAAATTTAACAGAAGATCCAAGGCAAAAACTAATCCAACGTTTTAAATTTAAAAGCAGAAAATACACAATGGAACGTTTTGGTCAAAGTTTCACGCAGCTAATAATTTCACTTGATGTCGGTTACAACATCATCCCCACGACCACGACGAGTAATATAGTTCCAAGTTTCAACGACATGGCTGCATGCTACCTACAACTACAAGTCACCACAATTAAATTTTGAACTTTTAGGTAAGGATAACTTTTTTATTGGCGCAGGCAACAATGAATTGAATCCATGACTTGTTTTGTCATTTGAAAATCATCAATTACATGATTATATCTTGCTCAAAGGGAAAAAAAAGAAGTTATACGTTGACCTTTTTCTTACTTTTCATGACAGAGTTCACGGACAATGTATCAATGTGGTCCCTTGAAGAGATTTTGTAGTAAAGGGCTGAGATGGATTAAGATGACTCTTCATCAGCTACATATTATGTAATTTGTATACGGTCAGCCACACTGGACATAGATACGCTCATAAAATCCCAATATTATCTCCTATTTATCGAGCGGCTCTCATACGCTGACGGAGATTTATCAATACGCCGCTTTTTAATAGTTAATGCATAAACATCTCATGTTCATTGTTTTTTCTTCATATCTTGTTTTGTTGTTGTGTTTCGTATCTCCTTTTCAATGTATATGGATAACAAGTATAATTCTATTGATTTAAAATGGTATTTTCGGGCCAAGAAGTAAACTAATAATGTATAGAAACACTGTTGTTTCCTAGTGAATATATGCATGCACATGTTTGAATAGAAACACTATTGTGATGCTCCTGGTGAATACATGCATGCACATGTTTGAAGACAAACACTAATGGTTTTCAAATGACAAAACATTGTGATGCTCCTGGTAATACTGCACATGTGTATAACCAGATTTTACCGAACAAAATGCTATTTGAGTATAGTGTTTTCCTGTTTTGTTTATGAGATTCCAGTGTATAGTAGCCAAATCAGTTAAACTAGGCATGGTTTTAAATAGTAATGACAAAATATTAAAGATGACGTAACAATGGCCAACAAAAAGGAAATAGAAAACAAAATTGCGGTAAATAATCAAAGTCACTTATTCCATTTTCATTTCACG